CCTTAATATACAGAAAAGTGGCTAGCCAGTTCAGGATTGGCATCTCACATCTTAATTTATGAATTACTCAAACATAGTGTATATACTAATGTATAGGTCTAGAAATTTAGGTCAAAAAAGTGACCCAAAAAACTTGAGTGGACTTATCCATGGGTCAAAGTACTGTACTTTAACTCTTATTTTTTAAAAAGAAACTATCCCCTGGTGAAAGGCAAGTGCATAATCTGCCCTGCAGTCACTGACCTCCTCTATTCTCTCATCCATCCAGCCTTTAGTATGAACACAAACAGTTATGCCTGCTAGAATTTTTAAAGTTATTTAGCATCGTTTTCCTTTGCTTCATCCTTTAGATCCTTTGTTACATGCCCCTAATAAGTTTTACCCTCATCTTATCCACGGATCATGTCAAAATTCATAATTTCGGCCCCAGAACCTGCCCTCGACTTATACATGAGGTTGACTTATAGTCGAATATATACAGTAGTTTTAATGTAATGCAGTACAACATGATATTGGGAATTCCTCAGTCTCTGTCCCCAAATGAAGTATTCCCTCAGGGGTTGTTGGGTCCATTTATGTGTATAGCCCAGCAGACACACAACCTCACAACCATGAATATCCATCCCTCCAACAACACCTGAACTCAGCACAAAAGTCAGAATCATACAAGCCGTCATATTCCCTATTCCCATGGATGGATATGAGAGCTGGACAGTTAAGAAAGATGACAGGAAGAAAATCAACGCATTTGAGATAATGTGGTGCTGGAGAAGAGTGCTGAGGATCCCACGGACAGCCAAAAGGACAAACAAGTGGGTCCTAGAGCAGATCAAGCCAGAGATATCCCTAGATGTCAAGACTTAGAAGAGTGCAGAGGATCCCATGGACAGCCAAAAGGACAAACAAATGGAGCAGATCAAGCCAGAGATACCCATGGAAGCCAAGATGATAAGACTTAGAAGAGTGCTGAGGATCCCATGGATGGCCAACAGGACAAATAAATGGGTCCTAGAGCAGATCAAGCCAGAGATATCCCTAGAAGCCAAGATGAAAAGACCTAGACCAGGTGTAGGCAACCTTTCCCCTTTAAGGGCCGAGGGACTTCAGCTCCCAGAATCCCAGGAGCTATTGGCCAACATGGGACTATTGGCCAACATGGCTGAAGGCTTCTGGGAGCTGAAGTAAAGGGGAAAGGTTGCCAACCCCTGACCTAGACTGTTGTACTTTGGACACATCATGAGAAGGCATGAATCATTGGAAAAGACAATAATGTTAGGAAGGGTGGAGGGAAGTAGAAAGAGAGGAAAGCCATATGCTAGATGGATGGACTCTATTAAGGTCACAGGTATTAAGGGATTTCAGGAATTAAGCAGAATAGTAGAAGACAGAGGGTCTTGGAGATGTCTCATCCATAGGGTCCCCATGAGTCGAGAGGGCAGTTGACAACAACAAACATACTGGCATTATATGTATCATATTATATATGATATAATAGACTCTCTGTCCGTCTACCCCAAAAAAGATAATGTTTCGCCTCTAACTACCTCTAATTTTAGCTAATTTGTTATCTCTTTTGCTTTTAATTAGTATTTTATATTGCTATTCATTTTATATTGTTATTGTTTTTAGATTGCTTCTTTTTCTTTTTTATAATTGGGAGGGAGGTTGGGGTAAGGCTTATTTTAGAAATCTGGTTTTAATTGTATATTGTATTTTATTGTTATTCCTAATTGTTGTAACCTGCCTCGATCTGCAGGGAGAGGCAGGCTATAAATAAAATGTATTATTATTATTATTGTTGTTGTTGTTGTTGTTGTTGTTGTTGAAGAAGAATGGAAGAACATTTATGTTTTATGGAATTGTGAAATAATACAAAGAACGTTTAAACAAATCTACTAAGGATTCATAATATTAAGTCTTTGAAGGAGTAAAGAGCTCCCTGCTGTAGCAGCACCTAGGAGCCGCTAGGGTGCGCTAGTCCAGTCATCCAAAGCAAGTGAGGCGGTCGCTCTTTCCCAGAACTTCCTTGATCTCTCTGGTTCTTTCCCTCCACCTCCCTTTCCCCCCTCCCCTTCGTCTTGGACTCATAGAGCTAGAAATTATAGAGTGACACAAAGTAATATGGTCCGGCTGATTCTGACATCGCATATTCCAAGCCTCTGGTTTGGAAGAAAAGGAAAATCCTAAATTTGAAATAATACACCGTATATTCTTTTCTCTAAAGTGAGACCCGGAAGCTTCCTTCATGAACCAGTGAACCCACCTTTGAAGAAGACACGCTTGATATACCTATTTACATGTTCTTTTATCTAAAGTGAGGCTCGGAAGTTCCCTCCTCCA